CCCCAAAACCCCAAAACCCCAAAACCCCGGCGATGAGTGATTATCAGATTAAATGAAATTAAAACCAAATTTATTAATATAATGATTATCATTAGTTCATGAATCTCAAGCATAATAAGAGAATATGAATATTCCTAGCAAAAGCAAGAAGGATACCTAGGCACCCCTGAAAGAGTTTAGACTTTGACTCCAGAAATCAGCATTCAAATTAATTGGAGAAGTTAGTTTGACTGGATCTCCAGTAATGACCACATACATCTATCTGTCCTCGCATAAATCAGCTCCTACTTTCAGATCATTTTGTTCTAACTCGCTAGTTAAAAGTCTTTGGTATTCCTGAGTGGGTTTTTAATTATTATCACTGGCTGATTCATTACTTGTTTGAGAATCAACCTCAGTCTATATTGTTGCTCTAGAATCCCAGTCTTGTCCTAATTCTATTGAGTCGATATTAACACCAGTGATGGATTCAGAAGTAAATTATGGAACTCCGCATTTCGCAACAACCTTGTACATACACGTTTATCCTTTGTCTAATCCTGATATTTTTACTGTTTATTTTTCACCAACTTTTGAGAGAACAATATTCTTTTTACCTTGACCGCATCTACCGCTGACAAAAGGACACACTCTTTTTTGCTCAAGTTTGTCTCCGAAGAAATTAGAGCAAGTATAGGAGATATCTGAAATCTAAGGGCATGCATCCTTTGACTAACAACAAATGTAATCAGATGTGAAAGGATCCTAAATAAGCTCTTAAGCGTTAATTCCTTTCCTGCAGTAAATGTATCCTGAATCAATGCACTGTCCACAAGCCATTGTTGGTGACCATGTTACATCAGTTAAAGATCCTAATTGGTTTCCTTCGCTTTCATACAACATTAAACCTTTGCTTCCGTCCTAGGTTATACCATCAGTTTTGATCAAACCTAAAGCCATAATGGCAACAATAATCCTCATGAGAAATGTAATTTTTAGATATTTTTGTAGTTTAAGTTTTAATGATTTTAAAAATTCCCATATTTATATCTCCAGGGGTTTTGGGGTTTTGGGGTTTTGGGG